CAAGAACTCTGACTGGGATGCCTTCAAACAACACATAGATAATACTAATGTCACCTATGACTACAACAACAAACCCATCTCTGACATTGACACTCAACTTGCTCTCATCCAGGACACCATTACACAAGCAGCCAACACCGCAATACCAAAGAAAACCCACACCACTCGTTATTTCTTCAAACCCTCAATCAGAACAAGAAAACAAGAAGATTAATTATCTGCTACCACAACCGCTTCCTCTACAACACAAACAGATTTAATCAAGTCCGATTAGATCTCACTTACCTCACCTGGAGTTTACCTGGAGAGAGTTCCGGGGGTCAACGCCCCCGCGGCCCGGTCTGTGACCAGGCCTCCTGGTGGATCAGAGCCTGATCAACCAGGCTGTTGCTGCTGGCTGCACGCAAACCAACGTACGAGCCACAGCCCGGCTGGTCAGGAACCGACTTTAGGTGCTTGTCCAGTGCCAGCTTGAAGACTGCCAGGGGTCTGTTGGTAATCCCCCTTATGTATGCTGGGAGGCAGTTGAACAGTCTCGGGCACCTGACACTTATTGTATGGTCTCTTAACGTGCTAGTGACACCCCTGCTTTTCATTGGGGGGATGTTGCATCGTCTGCCAAGTCTTTTGCTTTCGTAGTGAGTGATTTTCGTGTGCAAGTTCGGTACTAGTCCCTCTAGGATTTTCCAGGTGTATATAATCATGTATCTCTCCCGCCTGTGTTCCAAAGAATACAGGTTTAGGAACCTCAAGTGCTCCCAGTAATTGAGGTGTTTTATCTCAGAAACAACATACTGGAACTTTATCAAAAAAATCAGATGCACCACTCCCACCAACAAATGCAAACACGTCACCCACAACAACACACACATCTCAGACCCGCAGGCTGCTACTAATCTTCAAACACATCTGGGAGAACATCTTTCACCCTCACCCACCCCACCCTAATGCTATCCAACACATTCAGAATATAGAACACTGGAACACTACGCACACACACACACACGAAACAACACCAGACAGCCACATCCATCTGGACTCTCTTACCTCCTCCGAAGAACTTGACACTCCTTTCACCAACACAGACGTTAAAACTCTCCTCAGACACCTTCCTCCCAAGGCCCTTGGTTTCTCTGGCCTAAACCATTTTATCCTGAAACTTCTTCCTGATTCTATCATTACTGCCTACACAAACCTCCTCAATGCCTACCTTGCCTCTCGATACTTCCCTTCCCTCTTTAAAGCTACTGCTATCCTCCTTCCTAAACCCAATAAAGACCACTCTGACCCTAGAAACTATCGCCCTATCAGCCTCCTCGAAACTTTAGGAAAACTCTCTGAAAAACTCATCAATCATCGCCTTCGCAGATACCTGGAACACAATTCTCTACTTTCTGATGGCCAGTTTGGCTTCAGAACACACAGATCCACACAGGATGCCATTAACATCATTCTCAACTACATCCACATAAACACAAAACAAAGAAACAGGACAGCCCTGGTTGCAAAAGATGTTGAAAAAGCTTTTGACACTATCTGGCACGAAGAGCTCAAGTACAAACTCTGCACTAACTTCAACCTGCCTCTCACTACTCGTAAACTCCTCTGCAACTTCCTAGACGGCCGTACCATGAGAATCAAATTCCACTATCATGGGCTTTAATCCAAACTCCTTCCCTGACAGGGTGAATAAAGTTAGACAACTTTATTCACCCTCTCAGACACTGCAACACAATGGCATCTTGGAACAGAAAACACCTTGAGTCTCATTCAACCTACCCATGCAGGTCAGTCTCATATCCAACTACCTATGCAGATCAGTCTCATATTCAATCTACCTATGCAGGTTAGTCTCATATCCAACCTACCCATGCAGATCAGTCTCATATCCAACCTACCCATGCAGATCAATCTCATATCCAACCTACCCATGCAGATCTGTCTCATATCCAACCTACCCTTGCAGGTCAGTCTCATATTCAACCTACCCATGCAGGCCACTGTCATATCCAACCTACCCATGCATGTCAGTCTCATATCCAACCTACACAACATTCTCCACCTGTCTCTCTACCCTACACAATATATTCATGTGATCTTTACCCAGGTATATTTGCTTGTGACATGATAAAGCTCACTGTGTTAGGCGAAATGTAGTCAATAAAAGATTGCATTATATTGCATTTGTGTATATTTTTCCAGGCCTACCTGTCCTTGCTAGGCAGATCTGTCAGGGATTTGACCAAACTTAATTATGAAATTTACTTTAATTAGGAAAAATAAATATAGCTTTAATTAATAAATTAAAATGTTAATCATGAAATATATAAAAAAACTTTAATGATATAAATAAAATAAAAATAAGATATAATCAGTATAGTACTTATTCTTAAGCCTGAAGAGCTAATAAATGAAAGATATACAGTAGTGTTGTAGTGTGACGGTGGTGGAGCCACGTAGTGGTGGTGGTGGAGCCACGTAGTGGTGGTGGTGGAGCCACGTAGTGGTGGTGGTGGAGCCACGTAGTGGTGGTGGTGGAGCCACGTAGTGGTGGTGGTGGAGCCACGTAGTGGTGGTGGTGGAGCCACGTAGTGGTGATGGTGGAGCCACATAGTGGTGGTGGTGGAGCCGATAGTGGTGATGGTGGAGCCACGTAGTGGTGATGGTGGGAGCCACGTATGGTGATGGTGGAGCCACGTAGTGGTGGTGGTGGAGCCACGTAGTGGTGATGGTGGAGCCACATAGTGGTGGTGGTGGAGCCACGTAGTGGTGGTGGTGGAGCCACGTAGTGGTGATGGTGGAGCCACGTAGTGGTGATGGTGGAGCCACGTAGTGGTGATGGTGGAGCCACGTACTGGTGGTGGTGGAGCCACGTAGTGGTGATGGTGGAGCTACGTAGTGGTGGTGGTGGAGCCACGTAGTGGTGATGGTGGAGCTACGTAGTGGTGGTGGTGGAGCCACGTAGTGGTGATGGTGGAGCCACGTAGTGGTGATGGTGGAGCCACGTAGTGGTGATGGTGGAGCCACGTAGTGGTGATGGTGGAGCCACGTAGTGGTGATGGTGGAGCCACGTAGTGGTGGTGGTGGAGCCACGTAGTGGTGATGGTGGAGCCACGTAGTGGTGATGGTGGAGCCACGTAGTGGTGGTGGTGGAGCCACGTAGTGGTGATGGTGGAGCCACGTAGTGGTGATGGTGGAGCCACGTAGTGGTGGTGGTGGAGCCACGTAGTGGTGTTGGTGGAGCCACGTAGTGGTGATGGTGGAGCCACGTAGTGGTAATGGTGTAGCCACGTAGTGGTGGTGGTGGAGCCACGTAGTGGTGATGGTGGAGCCACGTAGTGGTGATGGTGGAGGCACGTAGTGGTGGTGGTGAGCCACGTAGTGGTGATGGTGGAGTCACGTAGTGTGATGGTGAGCCACGTAGTGGTGATGGTGGAGCCACGTAGTGGTGATGGTGGAGCCACGTAGTGGTGATGGTGGAGCCACGTAGTGGTGATGGTGGAGCCACGTAGTGGTGATGGTGGAGTCACGTAGTGGTGATGGTGGAGCCACGTAGTGGTGATGGTGGAGCCACGTAGTGGTGATGGTGGAGCCACGTAGTGGTGATGGTGGAGCCACGTAGTGGTGATGGTGGAGCCACTACGTGGCTCCACCATCACCTTGAGCCTTGAAATCAAAAGCTCAGCATTTGACTTTGTCAGACCAAGATTTCTGATAGGGTCATTGTTTGGTATGGGTGGTATGGATTCCTCCCAGCAGCTGCATCTGTAAGATCATAATCTTGTTCAAGGTGCTCTTTATTTTCTGTTTTGCTGCTTTCTTCTTCTGATGGTTGACTTCTTTCTGGAGGTGTAGGTACAGGAAGATCAGCACTGTGTGGTACTGGTGCAATAGAAGAGGGAAGGTCTGGATAAGAAATAACAGGTGCATTTTTCCCAGTTCGGTGTTTGGAAGGATCCACCAGGCAGAAGTAGCAGTTGGTTGAGTGATCAGTGGGTTGACGCCATATTCTAGGAACAGCAAACTTCATGGTTCTTTTATCTCCTCTGTACCATCCTGTAAAAGAACCAAAAAATTAGTTTTCGTTATATACATTTCATTTAAAAAATGTTCCTATTCAAGATTTTAACCTTCAATCACTTTCTTACCTTCCAATGTTTTCTTACAATGTTCACAAGCAACATGAGGTGTCCAGGTCTTGTCTTGGTCCACAACTGACATGCCAAAATGTACTTTGTAAGCTTCACACATTTTTTTAGATGCTGTTACAGAGTACTTCTTTGCTCTTGTCTTAATGAATTGATCACATATGTAGCAGAATGCATCTAGAGAATAATTGAAGCCTCTTGATGCCATTTCACTTCTGATGTGTCTTCTCAGGTAGTCAGAGATGAACTGAGTAGTGCTCTGTGAGTCCCTGTTTTTATATTTGCTAAGCAAAGTCCTGGAACATAATAGTTTTACATCAGTCTTTCTTGAAAGTGTTCCAGAAGTGTCCTGACCACAAGTTCTGGGATCAAAATTGCTTTTTTAAATATTGTTTAGTTATGAACAATTGGGAAATGATGCTTATTTCCCAGGAACACGATAAAAGTTAAATTTTTTTTACATAGTGTTATGAATGAGCGTAGTACAGCTGCCATGGTACTCAAATACATAAAATCCATAAAACCAGTGACTCCGGTATTATGGCTGAACCTAGTACAGTTACCATGGTTCTGGAATACATATACGCATATAGCCATGAGCAATGGTATTATGAGTGAGCTTAGCATAGCTGCCATGCAGGCTTTATGTTTGCTGGACAATAATAAATTTGGCAGGTTTTGTGTCCCGGTGTCATATCACCAACATCATGTCGTTGGTGTATCAGTATTTTAATGTTAATGGAGTTTATTTATGTTCAATTAAGCGCAAAATCTGACATGTCTGTTAATTTAATTAATTGTTGAACTGAATATCCTATCGTGATCAAGTGTATGATTATTTCTTACATACAGCTGCAAGAAGTGCTAATTCGTAGCGTAGAGAACGTGCTTAAGTGGCTGGGGAGTGAAGAGGAGCCGTGGGTAGGACCCAGGATTAAACTGTACTTGGTGCTTGATGACAACCAAGTTGTGCTCAATCCTGATGAAGAGGCGCTCTATTCGGCCTTCATGGACCTATTCAAAGAGGTTCGTTTACTATGGTATTCATAATTAAAAGGAGGAGATCTTTAATGCTTGTCATGAGCTCCTCAAGGTTCGAAAGCTCTACTTTCAAGAAACTGGAGTTCCACTCATCTTTGTTAAATCAAATTTATTTCCTAGGTGCTAAGGGAGTGCTGTGTTTTTACATTAATTGTTCTTAAGTGAACGAGCCTCTCCCACCAAGGTGAGGTGACCCAACAAATAGGAAATACGTCCATTGTCATTCACATCATCGTTGTCTTGCCAGAGGCATACTAACACCACACTTCAGTTTTACATCACAATTCAGAAACTGTTGAACTGTGGCTGTTTGTAAACAGCAAATGTATCAGTGATTAATCAACCTTCATCACTAAAATCTCACACAGTTGTACCTCAATATCTCACGTTTCTGTATTAATTCCCTAATGACTTTATCAGTAAATTATCTTTTGATGAATTGGTAAAAAATCACAAAAAAAGATAATTTCCTAATGGAGTAACTGTGCCCAAACTTATTTATCTACTTACTTACTGAAATGTGACAATGACCTTATTGTATGTGTGTTCGTATGTATATTTATGTATATATGCATATTAATGCATATATTTATGAATGTATGTATGTGTGTGCATGTATGTATATATGTATGCATGCATATGCATGTAGGTATGTATATATGCATATATATGTTTATCTGTCTTTTGTCTTTGCAAAAATACAGGGTCTAAAGCCGTCAACAACAAACAAAATTCCTTTCATCAAGGAACTGCTCACGGAGTCAAATGCAATATTTGTAGCATTCACAGAGACCCATGTCAAGGATCATTTTGACAACGAATATGGATCCCAGGTTATAACCTATTCACATGCGACAGACTAAACAGACAACAAAGGGGGGGGGGGTTTGGCTTGTACGTCACACAGTTGCTCATTTGCTCAGAACACCTCAAATGATGTAGTAGAAGCTTTGGTAGTAAAGATTGAAAACCAAAAACCTTGACATTGTTGCTGCATACAAGCCTCCAGAAGCAACTTCCCAGCAATTCTGTCAGCAGCTTTTGAATATTTATCACTGTCTGGAAAATCCCCAACTCCTGTCCCAAACATCTTGTTACTGGAAGATTTCAACTTGAGACACCTAAAATGGAGGAGTGTAGTAAATAATATTTTAGGAGAGATCACCCCAGCTCAGATGAAAAGTCACACACACAAGAGCTATTAAATCTCTGCACCAAATTCACCTTAAACAAGCAAATATTAGAGCCTACGAGACTGGAAAATACGCTGGGCCTCATCTTCACTAACAACGACGATCTGATACGTAATATAAACGTATCAAAGACAATACACTCAAATCACAACATAATAGAGGCACAGATATGTATACACTGGGCTCCTGACCAGAAAAATGCGATCAGTCATGATGGTCTCTTCACAAAATTCAACTTCAGTAACAAAAACGTGCAATGGGAACAAGTCAACCAAGTCCTAAATGAAACAAACTGGAAAGATATCCTAAACAACATGGATCTGAACCTTTGCCTAGAAAAATTAAACTCTGTGGTTCTTGATATCTACTCAAGGCACATTCCACTTTGAAAAAAAAAAGAGAAGATAAAAACTAGAAAGAGAGAGATGCTCCCTATACAGACGAAGGTGAAGAGTCATGGAGCTGCTGAGAGGGGCCAGTATATCCGAAATACGAAGGGAGGCACTGGTCAGTGAAATTGCAAATATCGAACTTAAGCTGAAGGAATCCTACAGGAGACAAGATTCACAGGAACAACTAGAAGCCATAAAGGAAACTGAAAAAAAAAATACTTTTCCTCTTCTGCCAAATCTATGGAAAAAACAACATCCAGTATTGGGCCCCTTCTTAGGCGAGATGGGACATACACAGATGATAGCCAAGAAATGAGTGAGATACTAAAGTCCCAGTACAACTCAGTGCTCAGCGAGCCACAACCTGGACTAAGGGTCGACAATCCAAATGAATTCGTTATGAACGAGACCCAAAATCTGGTCATCTCAAAGATCTCTGATATTATCCTAACACCTCAAGACTGAAAAGGCAATAAATGACATGCCCATGCACTCTGCTCCAGCCAGGCCCAGTCTCATGGAACTCCGTATTCATTAGGAACTGCAAGAAGCCCCTGTTACTTGCCTTCAGTATTCTATGGAAAGGGAGCATGGACACAGCGGTCATTCAACACTCACTAAAAGCAACAGACATAGTCCCACTCTACAAAGGCGGTAGTAAAGCAATTGCAAAGAACTTCATACCGATAACACGCACATCCCATATCACAAAAACACAAAGTACGGATGTAGTATACACAGACTTTGCAAAAGATTTCGACAAGTGTAACCACTTTGTAATAGCACACAAATTGCGAGATAAACGAATAAGCGGAAAAGTTTGTAGAAGGATCTATAACTTCCTGACAAACAGAACACAAAGAGTAATAGTAAACAGAGTAAAGTCTGAGGCGGTTATGGTGAAAAGCTCTGTTCCACAAGGCACAGTACTCGCTCCCATTCTATTCCTCATCCTCATAAGTGACATAGATGTGTCTTCCTTTACGAATGACAGGGACATCCATCGAAGACACAACAAGATTCCAAGCGGACATCAACCAAATCTTCAAATGGGCCACTCAAACCAATATGAAGTTCAATGAAGAGAAATTTCAACTACTCAGATATGGAAAACTTGAGGAAATTAAAACTGTTTCAGGGTATACAACAAATTCTAACCATACAATAGAGCGAGAAAGTAATGTGAAGGACCTGAGAGTGATAATGTCAGATGATCTCGCCTTCCTAGACCACAAAAATGTATCTTCCGCATCTGCTAGGAAAATGTTAGGATGGATAATGAGAACCTTCAAAACTAGGGATGCCGAATCCATGATGATTCTCCTTAAATCACTTCCTCTCTCTAGGCTGGAATACTGCTGTACACTAATTACCCCCTTCAAGGTAGGCAAAATTGCTGACCTGGAGAGTGTACAAAAAAATTTCACGGCACACATAAGTACGATAAATTAATGTGCAACACTTGGGTATCTTTAATGAGGAAACGTTTTGCCACACAGTGGCTTCATCAGTACATACAAAGGAGAATGGTGAAGAACAGGAGGAGTTTGAGGTAATCAGTCCCTCAGCCTTGAGTCGATGTGATCAGTCGATCAATCTTGAAAAGAATGTGATACCACCTACGACTGCTGCACCTCTCCTGCATACAGTATATAAGCCATTTCTTCGCACATATGCTGTGTTCTTTTCATGATTGATCGACTTATCACATGGACTCAAGGCTGAGGGACTGATTACCTCAAACTCCTTCTATTCTTCACCATTCTCCTTTGTATGGACTGATGAAGCCACTGTGTGGCGATACGTTTCCTCATTAAAGATATGTGTCATACAATATATTATTTAATATGTATAATACATATTATAATGCAAAAAAATATTTTATTTGTAATCTTTTGACTACCGCCCACAGGATGGGTATGGGGTGCATAAAGATATTAAACTAAAGTGTGTGTGTGTGTGTGTGTGTGTGTGTGTGTGTGTGTGTGTGTGTGTGTGTGTGTGTGTGTGTGTGTGTGTGTGTGTGTGTGTGTGTGGTGTGTGACTCAACAATCAATATTTGCACCAATAACTCATTACAGTTGTGACCGGGTGTGGAAGTGTGAATTGCTCATTACTCTATAATTTGTTCATGATTGTAGCCAAAGTATAAACGTAAGTAACCATTCTACAGAATTCATTACCTTTGTAACTTGTGAGCTCATTACCTTTGTACCTAGTTCAGCTATCAAAACTTTGGGGGCCCAGTCCCTGGACCCATTACGTACCTCTGTAATCTGTAAATACCTTTGTAACTTGTCATGATTGTGACCAGACTTACCTGGAGTTCATTACCTTTGTAAATTGTGAGTTCATTACCTTTGTAAATTGTGAGTTCATTACCTTTGTAAATTGTGAGTTCATTACCTTTGTAAATTGTGAGTTCATTACCTTTGTAAATTGTGAGTTCATTACCTCTGTAACTTGCTCAGCTATCAAAACTTTGGAGTCCAGTCCCTGGACCAATTATGTACCTCTGTAATCTTTTGACTACCGCCCACAGGATGGGTATGGGGTGCATAATAAACATATTAAACTAAACTAACTTGGTCAGATAAACAACACTTGGTAAGCAATGAATGCTCTGTGAAATTTTCTCACTTGCCATTTTGAGACAATATCATTGGTTCACCAACTCTGTCCTAAAAGTTGTAGTACTCATATGGGTTTAGTTCTTCCCCATGAATTTAATAAAATTATTTGTTGCATCTCATATCCCACATTTCCTACCTTTCCACAGCTGGACGACTGCGTGCAGCTATATCGTGGAACGTGGGATGAGCCTCAGCCGCCCAAGGTGCCCAAGTGGCGTCTGCGAGTAGCAGAGAACGGCGAGGAAGGTGAGGCTGACGAGGTAACTCCTCCATTACGGCCCTTACAACCCCGCCGCGAGACTCTGGTAGTCACACTCTCTGACCCACAATGGAAGGGCTTCCGGAGCGCACTCTCCTCCAGCATCCGGTGTCGCTTTGCTAAAGCTGCTGAGTTCTTGGATCAGATTTGTAAGTTTCTTTGAATATGCAATATATATATATGCAGTATATATATGGTTGTTTAATTTATTTATAGATAGGGTTGTAAGAGTATACATAGTGTATAGTGTATACTACAGTGGCTCCCTAGTATATTGATGATAAAGGCTAAAGTCTCATTTGAAAACAGGTGAATTTGTAAATGAAGTGATAAGCCTATAGAGGCAGGTGCCAGAAGTCGCCAGAAACTTACCACAGGTCAGCTGTTTTTAATAATCTTCCTGGCTTGCTAGTGTACTCGCATATAATCTAGTGATACCAGTGAATAGCAGAATACAGTGTTGTAGTAGCAACTAACCAGTATTATAATGGTACTTAGTGGAGTGGAGTGACTTTCATTAGTTTCTTTTTCTTGAAATACGAGACGTTACTGTGAATTTCATATAACCTGTAGTTACCAGCGGTCGCAATATACACCACGAGAAGCAATTATTACTACAGAAAAAGCGTCCTTCCTCCAAAATTTGCACCAGTCAACTATAGTGATAATATAGCATTTATTGTGGTGGAGACGGAAAAAAAAAAAAAAATAGAAAAGCCAGATACAGCGATTGATAAACAAGGAGGTCGACCGTTCGTCATTGTAGGAGCTGCCAGATATCACCGGCTCTTCAACACGCAAGTTATACCTTTGTATCAGTCAAATCACATATTACTCGGGTAGATAATTTCCAGTAGATCCTTCATGTGTTAGCTCAAATCACCGACCAGTATGTTTTAAATAAGTGACCCACTGATCAGAGCAGATCGACTGGTCCGAACCCTTGACTGGTCCGAACCCTTGACTGGTCCGAACCCGAGACTGGTTTCAAACAGTTTCGTTGGACAATAAAGCAGACTGTAAACGGATGGGGTTGTAGGCGCCCTTATAAACACAAACATTAAAAATCAGGAACGTGACGGTAAGCTGTCCAATATACAAAAAGAGTTAGAAACAGAAATACAAATAGCTAGAGCTTCATTTAAGGTTATTAATATAATATTCAAGAGGTTGCTAGTAGAATTGCAGTAAATCAACCATTCAAATCATTATGAAGCTGTGTGTAGTCTGTGGTCAGTCAAACAAACGGGCTTCCACATGGATAAATTGTCATTTTTTTGGAAATTGGTGTCACGCCCCTTGTGCAGATATCCCAGAACTAGCTACAAACAGTATTAAAACAGAGAAGTGTTTTTGGGTATGCCCAAATGAGGAAAATCTGTGGACTAAAATCACAAGGGTATTAAAAGAGGACAACATCAAAGCTGCTTTCATAGAAAACCTGGAAGCTTTCTACAACAGATGGGAACATAAAAAGTCTGGGCTGAATGGTACTGCCCTTGATACTGGTCATGTAATCACAAACTGTAAGGCTGGAGGTGATGTCCTGGTAGTCAGTAAATGTGGGGCTGATAGTGCTGTCCTGGGAGACAGTAATGGTGAAGCTGGAGGTGCTGTCCTGGGAGACAGTAATGGGGAAGCTGGAGATGCTGTCCTGGGAGACAGTAATGGTGAAGCTGGAGATTTTGTCCAGGTAGTCGGGAATTATACGCAGGAAGGAAAACATATAAATGACCTCATAGGGGACAGGAGCCATAGTAGGGAAACAAGTGTAGTCAAAGATAAGATAAAACCAATATTTCAAACTAGAAATACCGCAGGAAATAGCAAACAAGAGGACTCCAATAGCAATAGTGAGGATAAATTACCAAAAACAACTGGTGGGAGCTCCATTGTTGGTGCTAGGGAGGATAGAAGTAAGACAGGGAAACATCCCACCAACAGGGAATACAGTCACAGAAATCCAAGGCAAGCGGAAACCAAGCCTGTGCACTACTATGCACTTGGTATCTGCTTGGCATGGGAAATCTGGAAAAACAGATGGGACATGCAACTATGACCACCCTAGAAAATGCCATGCCCATATGACAACAGGAAAATGCAAACTCCCTTCCTGTAAGCTTTTTCCCACCCTGAAATGTGTACCTCTTCAGTACAGGAAAGACTGTGCTATAACTTAAATTGCCAGGCATACCATCTAAAGGGGACAAAAAGATACAAAACATCCAGGCCATGGGAAAACCTGGGTAGCCACAGCCACTCAAGAGGGAGAGGTTTTTTAGTGCAGGAAGGAAAAAAAACTGGCAGGAAATGGCAGAAATCGTACACCAAATCCAGTCATTCCTGGAGTGGAACCACAGTCGATGGCCTCCACTCCAAACCAACAGATACAGATACTAATGCCGGAAAAAAAATCCCCCCCCCAGTACCAACAATACCACCAGTCCGATAACATTCTTCTTTGCAAATATACAGGGTCTAAAGCCAGCAACAAACAACAAAATACCTTTCATCCGTGGACTGCTTGCAGAGGCAAAGGCAATGTTCGCGGCTTTCACTGAGACCCACATAAAGGATCACTTGGACAACGAAATAGGATCCCAGGTTACAACCTATACAGATGTGACAGAGTGAACAGGCAAAAGGGGGGGGGGGTTGGCCTGTACATTGCAGAGTCCACTTGTTTGCACAGGAACTGCTTATTGCCTCAAATGACGTAGTGGAAGTTTTAGCAGTAAAGGTCGAGAACCAAAACTAGTCATTGTGGTAGTCTACAAGCCTCCGGATGCAACATCCCAGCAATTCCAGGAACAGCTTTAAAAATTGACCACTGTCTGGAAAATCTTCCAGCTCCTGCACCCAACATCTTGCTCCTGGGGGATTTCAACTTAAGGCACCTAAAATGGAGGAATATAGCAAATAATATTGTTGCAGTAATAACACCAGGAGGCAGCTCTGATGAAAACTCACACTCACACGAGCTTTTAAATCTCTGCACAAAATTCAATTTAAACCAGCAAATAATAGAGCCTACTAGACTGGAGAATACACTAGACCTCATCTTCACTAACAATGATGATCTGATAAGAAATGTCACCATATCAAAACAATATACTCAGATCACAACATAATTGAGGTTCAGACATGTATGCGTGGAGCCCCAGACCGACAAAATGAGACTAGTCACGAGGGAGCATTCACCAAATTCAACTTCAATAACAAAAACATAAAGTGGGACCAAGTAAACCAAGTCCTAACCGATATAAGCTGGGAAGATATACTAAGCAACACAGACCCAAACTTATGCCTAGAACAGATTAACTCGGTGGCACTCGATGTATGCACAAGGCTTATTCCTCTAAGAAAAAGGAGGAGTAGATGTAAAATAGAAAGAGACAGGCGCTCCCTTTACAGGCGACGGAAAAGAATAACAGAGCGGCTAAAAGAGGTCAATATATCTGAAATGCGCAGGGAGACACTGGTCAGAGAAATAGCAAGCATCGAACTTAAGCTAAAAGAATCCTTTAGGAGTCAGGAATCGCGGGAAGAACTAAAAGCCATAAATGAAATCGAAAGAAACCCAAAGTATTTCTTCTCCTATGCCAAATCAAAATCGAGAACAACGTCCAGTATTGGGCCCCTACTTAAACAAGAGGGGTCCTACACAGATGACAGCAAGGAAATGAGTGAGCTACTCAAGTCCCAATATGACTCAGTTTTTAGCAAGCCGCTAACCAGACTGAGAGTCGAAGATCAAAATGAATTTTTTATGAGAGAGCCACAAAATTTGATTAACACAAGCCTATCCGATGTTATCCTGAGCCAAATGACTTCGAACAGGCGATAAATGACATGCCCATGCACTCTGCCCCAGGGCCAGACTCATGGAACTCTGTGTTCATCAAGAACTGCAAGAAGCCCCTATCACGAGCCTTTTCCATCCTATGAGAGGGAGCATGGACACGGGGTCGTCCCTCATTACTAAAAACAACGGACATAGCCCCACTCCACAAAGGGGGGGCTTTTTAAAAAAAAAACCAAAAGTAAACCTTTTCCAACCGATATAATGGGGAAAAAAAATTTTGAAAAAACCCCCTTATGTAAAAAATTAACTGGGTGCATAAATTTTCACGTTTTTCCCCCAAAAAGGGGATAGAGTAAAATAAAAAAAAGGGGCCCCCCTTTGGGCAAAAATAAAAGGGGAAAGAGGTTTAAAAATTAAACCAAAATGGTTTTTTAAAAAAAAAAGGCCCAAAACGAACCCCTTTGGGGGGGCCGGGGAAAACTCCATAAAAGAAATCCCCAAAAACCCCCGCCCTAAAACAAAAACCCTTTTCCCCCCAAACAAAGGGGGGCCCACCAAAGACAAAAAGGAAAAAACTATCATCCCAAAATCTCTTTTTCAACCCACCGATAAAAGAAATCAAAAAAAAATTTTTTGAAGGCCCAAAAAATTTTTAACAAAGCCTATTTGTTATCCTGGCCAAATTGAAACCCCAAAAAAAAAAAAAAAAAAAAAAATAAGGAAAAATGAAAAAAAGTTTTAAAAAATAATTTTAAAAAAAAAAAAAAAAAAAAAAATCCCAAAAAAATAAAAAAAGAAGAAAAAAATAAAAAAAAAAAAAAAAAAAAAAAAAAAAAAAAACAAAAAAAAATTAAAAAAAGGGAAATTTTTAAAAGGGGAAAAAAAAAATAAAAATTAAATTAAAAAAAAAAAAAAATAAAAAAAAAAAAAAATTTAAAATTAAAAATTAAAAAAAAAAAAAAATAAAAAATAAAAAAAAATTTAGGAAAAAAAAATTTTTAAAAAAAAAAAAAATTAAAAAAAAAAAAAAATAAAAATTTTAAAAAACTATAGTTTTTTAAAAAATAAAAACAAAATTTTTTAAAAAAAAAAATTTAAATTTTAGAAAAAAAAGGAGGGGGAAAAAATTTTTCAAAAAAAAAAAAAAAAAATTAAAAATAAAAAATTTAAAAATAAAAAAAAAAATAAAATAAATTTAAAAAATAAAAAAAAAAGGAAAAAAAAGAAAAAAAAAAAAGAGGGGGAAAAACAACGGACAACCCCCACTCCCAAAAGGGGGCAGTAAAGCAACAGCAAAAAACTCAAACCAATCCCTAAATCCCTACAAAAAAAATTTTTTGAAAG